ACTCTGACCTACCTAAAACTAAACCTAACCTTAACCTAACCCTAACCCTAAACTTAACTTTAACGTAACTTACTTTAAGATAACGTCTTTCCCAACTTTACCCTAACCTTCACCAAACTTTAACCTTACCATAACCCAACCTTAACTTAATCTTAACTTATCCTTAAAACACGTCTTCACCTTAAAATGTAATGATTCATATTATGGGCACTTGCTTTTTGGCCCCATAAGGACGACAGGTCCTCACAGCTTGTACTTGAACTTTTATCAGCCTGTGATGTATTTCCCCTGTCGTTCATGTCGACCCTTACGCAGCAGCATTGTCAACAACCAACCACAGCAGATGCAATGACAGTAAACACTTTTTACCTTCCGCAATAAAATAACTGGGATTAACCTCACCGCAAATCAAAATCAGAATCAGATGTCCCTTTGTCTGGATCAATGAAAAGCCCTCCCTTTCAAACAATAGACGATTGACTGAAGCTGTGGATGGTTTGGGAGGTAATGTGTACATTGGGCGTTGTAGAATTGTGATTGTGTTAACATGGTGCGACCTACCACCTTCAACAAACACTGGTGTTCTATAACCTTTGAAAGGTATATAAAGAGTCCCCTCTGGGGTCTTCCACTGCTCGCACATCTACTGCTCTGTCATTCTCCGATTTTCCTTTTACCGCGTTTACCGCCTCTTAAGCAGCAACCATGTCCCAGCTCGAGACAGCCATGGCCCTCCTGATGAAGACCTTTGATACATATGCTGCGGGTGAAGGAAGTAAGGAGACCCTATCCAAAGCCGAGACCAAGACTTTGCTGGAGAAGGAGCTGCCTAGCCTGCTCAAGGTATCGTGCAACTCTGGGGAGGGACGCGTGGAGCACTGAGACTGTTTAATGAGGCTCAGGCACATGAAGGATAATCATCTACTAAACTTTCTTCATTCTGCATTATGTGAGGTTCATGTTAATTACAAGAGAGGCCAACAATACTGAAAATGTAATGAGTGTTAGTTGTATGATTCTACGTATTTGACACATCATAAAACCTGTTCAGCTGCTAAAGTAATAGTAAGAAAGGGTTTTTCATTTCGGGGTTTAATGTCCTTGACTGTTTGGTGGGAAATAAGTATTTACTATGGTAACAGTATCCAGCACCACTGATGATTTTGTTGGTGTGTGCAGGCAGCGAAGAACCCAGGTGAGGTGGACAAGCTGCTGAAGGGTCTGGATTTCGATGGGGACTCAGAGGTCGACTTCACAGAGTTTGTGGTGCTTGTAGCTGCTCTGACCTGCGCCTGCCACAACCGTGCCTGCAAGAAGTGAGCAAGGCGTACACGCTTGAATGGAATCACATGGACGCAGCAGTGGCTTAAAAATCCCTGTAGTAACTTTTTTTGTGTAGAAGCTGAATAAAGTAATTTATCTACCTATACATGGTTGTGTGATTAATGTAAAAACTGGAGCACTAAGAGGGTGTGGTTCGAGAATATGAACAAGAGCAAAAATACAAATGGTCCCTTGTGAAGTTTGAGGTTTTTTCCATTGAGAAACAATCCCTTGAATATATATACACCACAACACTAAAACAGGGAACTGGTTTTATGTCTGTACAATAAGAAACAGACACACATTCTATGTCAGTGAGGACACTCATTTGCATCATGCACTCCCTGGCCCCTTAACTCTAACCACCAAAACTAAATGCATTTAAACCTCAAATCAAGTCTTAACCTGGAAACAGCTCATTGAAAGTGTGTCACAAAGTGAGGACCAACCAAAACGTCAGTTGTGTTTTTATAATTTAGAAACACAGTCAAGGCAAAGTCTTTTTGACAACTGTAACTCTCTTTATATATGTAGCCCTTTACATGTCTTACTCAGAAATCAGGCCACCGTCAACAGTTGGTCTGGAATGTTGCCGCTCGGCTTCTGACACAATACAAAAAATGCAACCATTTTAAATGCAGACCTTTTATTTTCACAAGGGCGTTGGTAACCATTCCAAAGTCTAAACTCAAAACCAAAGGAGACAGTGCCTTTGCCGAGATCTTTATTATTATTATTATATTTATTAAAAGTATTGTTTATGAGTTTCATATTGTTTGTGGTAAAGCACTTTGTTACTTGTACTGAAAAGTGTTATAGAAATAAAGTTATTTTTACAATCATTATTATTATATGTGTATATATGTACATATGTCTTTGTGTATACTTATATATGTACATATATTTAATTAGATACATGTGAAACAAGAACAAAAGGGGTTTGAATCATTTGAATAACTATGAATATAAAAACATTAATGTAGGTCCAACATATGAAAGAAAAAATATTAAAAGGAACACATATACAACTTATATATTATGTAATTTACTTTTGCTATGGAGCCAAAAATATGAAAATTCATGTGTGCATGTATGCATTGTCAAAGATGATAGGAAATGATTTTATCGTGTTACAGCAGTTGGTCAAAAAGCCACATGAAGTACATTCACCACATTTCCTGTCTTACTAGAAAAAGGGGACTTGCATGAGAAACTGTAAGTACTTGATGAACCACTCTCTTAACACAATGTTTGCAGAAAGCAGTTTGCAGAGATTATCCTAGTCACACAGGAAGGTTTCAGATGTTGTTGAAAGACAACAAGCAAAAATGGACCAAGGCCCAACAATCCCCTTAAATTCATGCCACATTAAATTGCACACAATCAGTCCACTTGAAATCTTTAAAAATGTCAAATCTCACAATGTTGGTTCTTCCCTTACCAACAGCACATCCTTCTACCAGGTTTTGTGGAAAGTATTTTTGTAGGTAACAATAGGATCTTTTTGAGATCCATGAGGGAGCTTTGTAATTGCAGTTAGCTCAGAGGGGCCAGGCATGAAGTAAACAATAGAGGTCAAGACACTGCAGGCTATAGAGACAATGTTGTTGACCAGCTAACTCTGATCAGAGTTAACACGCTGCTTCTTAATCCACCTCTGGGATTCTCTGTGAGTGTCTGGGTCAGTTCATCGCTCCATCAGCCCACCAGGAAGCACTGGCCAAGTTATCGCCAGTTGGAGCATTTGCATAATTACAAGATGCCTATGCTGCCCTCTAGTGGTAGAAAAACTCTCCATTCCAAAAGGGTATTCGTAACTGGCACTAGAAAAATGTACAAAAGAGATTCATCACCATCGTCACCACTGACATAATTTGCTGCTGCCATATGCATGATTGAGCGTGTGAAGGAATAAAGAGACAGTTTCACACATCAAATAACAAATTCACGCCCTTAACCCACATACCCAGTCACAGGACCTGGAAAAGGTGTTAACCACCACACTATCGCTATGTTGTGTAACGCTGGTTGACATTTCATTCAGTCTAACTAGTGCAGTGCCTGTTTTAAACCTTCCTGTTTGAAATGGGCTGTTTACTTAGTGAGTCCAGCTCAAACAGTTTTACAATATACTGTTTTATTGTTTGTTCGCTGGACATGCTCAGTCTATGGTGCAGGGTGACATTAGAAAACTTACCTAACCCAATTTTATAGTAAACGTTTTTCATAAAATCAAACTGAATGTCCTTTGTTACTATTCATGTGTGTGGCTTATACATATGTTGAATGATTGACTCAGCTGGTGTGTTTTTTTTCATATATTATAAGTTGGCTACTTAATCAATCGACACAATCTTCAGACCCAAGTTCACAACTTTAAAAAAATGAAAGCTCTGTAATTCCGCTTGATAATCTTGATTAAGCATGGCAGCAACAACATTTACTTTGCCCTTTCACTTGAAAGACAAGTTGCCAAACAAGAAGTGAGTCAATAGCTGCTTTCAGACATGCACTTCAGTTTCTGGAGGAGGTGTATGTGTGAACACAAATGGGAGAGCCACTGGAGTCTCTGTGGACTTTCTTTGCCTGGGGCCCCCGAGTATAAAGTCTGCAGAAGTGGATGTGAGAACACAACATGAAATCCCCAGGATTCAAGGCGAGCAAGTGGTGGACCTAATGACGCTCCTAATACACAACAGACACAAAAATGAAAAAGGCAAAAAGAACATAAATATCTTCGGATGAAAAAGTGAAGCCATACACACAGAAGACACCAGTGAATTTTTCAAGTTGTGTGTTCTCATTAACAACAAACATGAAAAGTGTGAAGCTGATCAGATGGACAGTACGTGAGATCTGCATTCCACATACATACAGACAGACGTTTGTAGAATTAGTAGGTAGATATGTCATGGAGTCCAACTTGGTAAATACATCGTGCAGTAATACATTGAAAGATACTAAATGCGGGGCTTCATATGATGCTTCTCTCTTATTATGTTTGCAGTTTTCCATGCAAAAACGAACTGACTTTCTTGAAACTTACTTGAAGGGTTGGGGTATGGTACAAGGAACAACCAGTTTTTGGAGCAGATTTGATTGAGGAGGTGTTTTTTACGATGTTTCCTCCCCCGCAACGACGAGATAATGAAGGACCGTGATAAAAATGGAGACCAAGAGATCGACTTCCCTGAATATCTGTCCCTCCTAGATGCTTTCACCTACAGTATGCCTGCTTCGAAATCTGTCATGACCGTATTTGAGCAGGTCAACCACACCCTTGGGTGCAGCCAGATGGAGGCATCAGGTAACAGGTTTTAAGAGTTTTTTGAAGCTGCTGAATAAAGAAAATGTTCTACCTGTAAATGTTTGTTATGTGGAAGATGTGGTGAGACATGGCAAGAATATGAACAAGGTACAAATTGTGCTTTCTGAAATAAAAAGAGTTTTTTAAATGTGGAAACCTATTGGTACGAAGACATCCTTTCTCTCTCTCTCTCTCTCTCTTTCGCACGCACACAGACACAGACAGCCGGATGGAGGCAACAGCAGCATACCATACCTGTCGTAACAGGTTTTAAGAGTTATTTGAAGCTGCTGAATAAATAAATTGTTCTACCTGTACATGTTTGTCATGTGTTTCATGATTAGTGTGAAATCAGAAATCAGAAAGAAGATGTGGTTAGACATTGGAAGAATTTGAACAAGATACAAATTGTGCTTTCTGAAATAAAATTTGTTTTTTTAATTTGGAAACCTATTGGTACGAAGACATCCTCTTGGGCGTTGTAGAACTGAAGATAGGTTGACATAATTGGACCTTTAGTCATACGCCCAAACTGGTTTTTCATCAGTTATATAAAGAGTTGACTCTGTGCTCTTGCACTCCTCACACATCAACCACTCTGTTGACTGCTGCTTTTCTTCGATTTTGTTCACCACCTCGCCATGGCAGATATCAGTCCCTTCCAGGCAGCATGCTTTGTCATTGTCAGCACCTTTGAAAAATATGCATCGAAGGATGGTAAATCAAAGACCTTATCCAAATATGAGTTCAAGGAGTTCCTGAAGAATGAGATGCCTTGCCCAGCCGAGGTACTGTACAATCCACTAAACTTGCCTTATTCTGCATTATGTGAGGTTCGTGTTAAATTGACAGTTGATTTGTGGTGTAAAGGGCATCAGGCAGGACTGTTTAAAAAAAAATCATGATTCTATATTTTTGGCATGTCATTTAACCCAGTTACCTGTTTTGACAAGGCTTTAATTTCAGGGTTTAACAACCACCTTTGTATGTCCTTCATGTCCTTCATGTCCTTTAATTTGGCTGTAAAAACAAGTTGAGGGAAGAGAAGGTAAAAAAAATCTTTTGTCTATATCTTAAAAACAACGATGTTGCTGTGTTTGCATGTACAGGGGCCGAAAAACCCAGCTCAGTTCGACAAGATGATGAAGGAGCTTGATCAAAATGGAGACCAAGAGATCGACTTCCCTGAATATCTGTCCCTCCTCGGTGCTTTCACCTATGCCTGCTTCGAAATCTGTCAAATGCAAAAGTGAGCAGGTCAACCACATCCTTGGGTGCAGCCAGATGGAGGCAACAGCAGCATACCATACCTGTCGTAACAGATTTTAAGAATTTTTTGTAGCTGCTGAATAAAGAAATTGTTCTACTTGTACTTGTTTGTCATGTGTTTCATGATTAGTGTGAAATCAGAAAGCAGAAAGAAGATGTGGTTAGACATGGCAAGAATATGAACAAGATACAAATTGTGCTTTCTGAAATAAAATTAGTTTTTTAAATTTAGAAACCTATTGGTACGAAGACATCCTCTCACTCTCTCTCTCTCTTTCTCTCTCTCTCTCTTTTGCACACACACAGACACAGACTCAAACAAATATATCTACATATACACCCACAAATACATACATATGTAAATATATATATAGTTTTCTTTTTATAGTTCCAGGCTTCATGCATTATATTATATTCTGCATATACATACATATATATATATATATATATATATATATATATATATATATATATATATATGAAAATAAAGATATATTACACAGTACATTTAGACAGCTTTCACAATGTTTCTTCCCCCGCAGCGTAAAGTTTACTACCAGTCACAGCACATGCAACAATGACAGTGACAGTGCGTTTAAAAGTATTTCATTGCGATCCAGTGAAACCCAAACTGACAACCAGCACACAGTTCATACCTTGCACAGTAAAATAACCTAAAATTTATCAAATCATAGTATCAAATGACACTGGGGTTTGTCGAATGATATGCGTGCACATTGGGCGTTGTAGAATTGAAGATGGGTTGACATAATTGGACCTTCAGTCACATGCCTAAACTGGTTTATCAACAGTTATTTAAAGAGTTGGCTCTCAGCTCTTGCACTCCTCACACATCAACCACTCTGTTGACGGCTGCTTTTCTTCGATTTTGTTCACCACCTCGCAATGGCAGAAATCTGCAGCTTCCAGGCAGCAGGCATGGTCCTTTATAAGCACCTCTGAAAAATATGCATGGAAGGATGGTAATTCAAAGACCTTATCCAAAGCTGAGTTCAAGGATTTCCTGAAGAATGAGATGCCTTGCCCAAGCAAGTTACTGTACAATCCACTAAACTTGCCTTATTCTGCATTATGTGAGGTTTGTGTTAAAATGACAGTTGATTTGTGGTGTAAAGGGCATCAGGCAGGACTGTTTAAAAAAAATCATGATTCTATATTTTTGGCATGTCATAAAACCCAGTTACCTGTTTTGACACACCAAAACATATCTGTATATATTAAACAAAATGAAATTAAAGAAGTTTTTTTCATTTCATGCTCAGAGTCAACAGTGTAATGTACTCATGCATACTACAGTGGTTGTAAGATCAGGCAACACACTGCTTCTTAATCCATCTCTGTGATTCTCAGTGAGTCTCTGGGTAAAGTCAAACCCACCAGGAAGCACTGGCCAAGTAACACATTGTATCTCTTGTCTGAGCAGTTGCACTCGTTCACAAGGCCTATGCTGCCCCCTACTGGCAGATAAACTGCCCTTATCAGGATTTTCAGATTGTGAAAACGTGGCGGGCCTGTAATCGGATTGCAAGGTCATTAAGCTCAGACTCTCCTCTCGCCACTTCCTCTCTCGCTCCCTTGCTTTCTCTCTGTGCGGGGGCATTACAGAGGCTTATGGGGATTAGGTGTCCAGAGTGGAGGAGGATGTAGCTTTGGAGTCAAGAGATACAGGTGGGAAGGTGGTACACTGGTGTGTGCTCTGCTTCTTTTTTCAGGTTTTTCCTTTATTTGTCTCATTGTGCACTCCTGAAGTTTTACTAGGAGCAAGAAAAATGCAAAAAGCACAAATGCCATTTTGCCTTACAATGTATTTCACATGATACATTGTTAGCACAGTAATTGTTTTTAATTAATTTCTATCTTTTATAGAGGGATTTTATTGGACAGGATTTACTGGCTGGTAAAAAAAAAATCCCCAGTTTTTATCTTTCTCTTCTATGTCACTGCAGACCATCTCTACCAAAGTTGATTAACAATTTAACATTTTGTACATTTGTTGGAAAGTTAGAGACCACTCCCCTTTACTAATGACTTTCTGACATTTATTTAGACTGTACATGTTTAACAGATGCCAGCCTAATTATTGGCTTAAGATATACCTTTATTGTCACTTTTATTAACACTTTTACATGCATACATGAAATTGTTCTCTGCATTTAACCCATCCAGTTGGCACCTGGATGAAACACACATTGACATATGCCATGTACACACATATGCTGGAGAGGTGGGCTGCTGTTGCTGGTGCCTGGGGGGTGGTGCCTTGCTCAGGGGCAGCTTGGTTGTGGTGAGTGGGAGTGGGGATTGAACTGCCAACCTTCTGGTTATTGGATGACCTGCTCTACCGCTGAGCCACGGCCGCCCTATGGCTTGTGCCATTTAAAACCATATGACTGACCCTCAGGAGCTTATTTAAAGATTTACAAATGTAGAAACTTGTTTGTCTGATCTAAAGACGGTTTCAGTCACTCAGTAAATTGATGTGATTGGACAGAGGTCCATCAACGAGTTGAAGGGGAGTCATTGTGTAGTTGGGTGACATCATGATAAAGTGTTTTTACAGCAACATCCATATTAATTCTTTCTCATTTTGGAACAATAGCCAATTGGAACCATAGGGTTCAATCTAAAGCCAGGCGTCTATGAAGGGTGTTTGTGAGCAGCAGAGGTTTACAACCCCCTGGCACACACACACACACACATGGCTCAGCTCTGTCCATGTGAGGTAGAACGTTTATGAATACCTCATTCTGTCTTAAAGCCACACATCTCTGGTCATATGAGCTGCCTGGGTGTCCAGCTCATCTCGTGGCCTGACTTCTCAGCAGGGAGAAACACGATAAACACACAGCTGATCTTTGTCCACCCACTTTTGCAGAGTGTGTTTTTCTTGCCCTTGTAGCCGTCACTGGGCGTCACTGGGTTTTACTGAGGAGCCGTGATAAAACTGCAGACACTCTAAGGCTGCCTGACGCATGACTGCTTGACTTATGGGCTGTTTGAATATTCATGTTTCAATGTGGAATCCTGTGTCACCCCCCAAAAAAGTTGTAAGATACTAAATGCACAGAATAGCAAGCACATTAAAGCTGCTTTGATCAATATTTTTATATGAATAATGTATGAAATTTGTATTGTGAAAGGAAATCACTCACAGAGAATTATCACTTGACTTTCCTAATCCCCTCAGCTCTATCACATATTTTACTGTCTTTTAGCTGACAATTTTAACTTTATACCACCTTAACTTTAACGTGTTGCCTGCAATATTTCATTTATTGTATTTGCACTTTGTTTGCACTGCCCCCAAGTGGCTTAAAGACAGTTAATGCAGCTGTACATGCACATGAACCCTGCCCCGAATCCTTATTGATTTCCCTTTTTGGGGTATACTCTATACATAAAACATACATTTGTACATTTGTACGTATTTCTTTCATTAAAATAAACACTATTTACAGATTTAACCACAGTAGCGGTGTGCCTCTATAGATATTCAAAAGTGCCATATTCCAGCCTGAAACAGGCAGTGTGAAAGGGAAAATGAAATAAAGCTGAACCATCAGGGGGGTAACTTGGTGCAGTTTTATGACATGGACAGATAAGCTTGAATATCTGTGGAGTGGCCCTTCAAACTACACTAGTCAAAGCCAATGGGAGATGAGGAATACCTGCTGAATGTGTCTGTGTAATTACCAGGGACTGGAATAACCTCTTTGTTTTGCATTGCAAAATCATTTGATAAAAAAAAAAAAAGCTCTGTTAATGGGCATTTTATTCGTCTTCACCTTGAAACCTGTCTCCCAAGAATGACCTGTTGACTGGAGGTTTGTGTTCCAGCTAACAAACAGTTGCCAGGGCTTAAAGAACACAGCACAGAGTTCCTCCCATACCATACATTCCTCTCAACTTAGTGTCACTGAGGCCATTTCTCTCTGGATGGTGGTATCCGCCTAGTCTGGCTGAGGGACACTGTCTCAACCACCACCACATGCTGTTTTCAACAACATCTTTGATTGCTGATAAGATTTGCTGCATCGTCTTTTTGAACATGAACAAGTGGCTCGGAAAGGGGGAGAGAAACACAAAGCAGCCCTCAGTCATACCAGACAACAGTGACAGGACTGTCCCCTTTGACCTACACACACTCTAAGCAGGCTTATGGTGCAAGGGGCTCCTTGTGCAAGAACTTGTATTTGTTACCTTCACCAAGAAGATTATGTTTTGGCCTCTGTCCATTTGTTTGTTAGTTGGTTGATTGCTGGACAGCTTCCTGGGGTGCTGAGATTTCTGGGTTGTTGTGAATGCGTCTGAGCGGAGAATCCCCTCCTGCCTGGTTCATGTGTGAATGGACAACTGCGGACTCTGAATCCTCAGGAGGTCATTTCTGAAAGCGGCTTGAGTTCTAATATTTACTTGAGATCATTCTTATGGAATATTGCATATGCGTACCAGTAGCAACCCACACCAACTCATACTCTATTTATTTTTAGTCTGAATGCTTGATATGTTCTTGGTATGTGGAGTGTTTTGTTACAAGATAAGGTTGATGATATTCTACACTTTTTGTACTGTCAACAAATTAAAAAAAATACTAACACCAACAACATCTCTTCCCTTTCAGTCCCTCATCAATTGGTTCCTGCTGGAATCTTCAAAAACAGGTTACATATTATCATAGTTTAATCTTCCATCATTGGTTTCCATCAAACAAGAACTTCCTCATCATGTCCAACTGCAGCTCTGTTGCTATGTGACAGTCATAACAAACTGGTGATGCAGATCACGGAAACCCTCTGCAGATCAGACCGTCTAATTTCGGTGCTAATTTTCTTTGCAGTCTACGCAAATTACGAAGACCGCCACCTTCGCGGGGCGCATACACTGTGGCTTCTGAAGGAGGCGGCCCCTGAAAAATGATACAGTAATAATCAGCTGTTTTTGAGGGGCAAACCCCTCTGAGATCTTAAAAACCAACAGCGAGCGGACACTTCAGAAGTCCTGTCCTTGCTGTGACGTTTCTGGGTTTGCATATTTTTCTGATTTTGAACCAAAAAAAATGTTTTCCCTCCACTTCCTCTGTTT